TATCTTAATATTCAGATCTAAAAAGTATTTTCAGCCACGCACCGGTGGCTCACACCTGTAATTCTAGCTACTCAGGAGGCAAAGATCAGGAGGATCGTGGTTTGAAACCAGCCAGGCAAATAGTTCTCAAAACCCTATCTCAAAAATACCCAACACAAAAAGGGGCTGGTAGAGTAGCTCAAGGTGTAGGCCCTGAGTTCAAACCCCAGTACCAACAAAAAAAAAAAAGTATTTTGCAGTAATTAAAGCAATCTGACTAAATACATGATCTGATCAAGATTTCTCATTATTTAACTGGAAGCCTATGAAAAAAGTATTTCCTTCTTTTCTACCATGCCATTAAAACAAGTTATTAATTCTGACTGAAAAAAAAACTTAATCAGGAATTAAGATCTAATAACCCTATTTCATAATTTGTCACAAAGGTATTTTCAGGTGTGGATTTAAAAGCATTTGTATAATGTCTGAACTAAAAAATTCTGAATACACCTGAAAAGTAAATGAAAATTTGACTTACAGTCTCTGATTTACACAGCTCCTGTTGAGCAAATCAAACTCTCTAATCACAAACCCAGCTATTGCCTGGTATGCAGCATCTTTTTAGCCTAGATGCTACTACATGAGTTTCAACAATGAATAAATATTAAGTAAAATAGATGACATTTTAAGGAAACCCCCATCAAAAACATTCTATTTATTTACTATAATAACAAGATTAGGGAAAGAATGATATATTCTTCAAATATACTTTAACTGCTCTTCACACCCATTGCCCATAAAATCTACAATGTTAGTGACATTCTTTTTTCTTTCTTTCTTCCTTTCTTTCTTCCTTTCTATCTTTCTTTCTTTCTTTTTTGGTGGTACTGGGCTTTGAACTTAGGGCCTCATGCTTGTTACGCAGGTGCGCTACCACTGGAACATCTCTTCTAGCCCTGTTTTCTACTAGGTAGCTTTCAAGATAGGGTCTCACACCATTCCTCCTGATATGTGCCTTCCAAGTAGCTAGGATTACAGGCATGAGCCACCAGCACCCAGCTTTTGGTGACATTCTTAAGGTCCATTAGATAAATACACATTAAAGAAACCATCCAGAAATAATATCTCAGATCAATTCATAGAAAATAAACCATTATTGAGCATATATTTATTTCATTATAGTAAGAGAAGAGACATTAAAAATAAAACTTTAGTCCAGTTTCTAAGTAAGAAATATATAATGTACAAAATTCCACAACAGCATATCAGTGTTTTCAGAATGGGCCACTCTAAACTTAGAGATAATAGTTTTAGGATTGGCTTGCGTAGGGAGTCCTTGAGCATAAAGGAGGTTTTAAATTAATTTTTGACAGAAATGACATATTGGAGACAAAGATAAAAAGGGAGAGAACAAATCTTAAAGTAGAATCAAAGGATTTAGAAATCAAGTTGTATTATGTGAGGGCAGAAGGGAAATGGAAAAGAAGTTAAGGTAAAAGAGTGGAAATGTTCATCACTTTTAAGTTTAAGAGATTTCAACTTCAGAGACAAAATGTAGAAATGTAGCTGGTGTGGAATATGTATCTTGCTGCAGCATGGTTTTCTTTAATAACTTGACCATTTAGAAGTTTCCTGAGGAAACTTCTTACAGGATAAGTTCTTTCTGGTGTGGTAGAATTTACCTTCACAGAAAATCTCGGAAGACTTCAAGCTGTTGAAGTTCCCTAAAACCCAAACAGAGTCTGCATGAAATGCTTCTTTAAATGCTATCGATGGATATATTATCCGGAAACTTCTCTGTTTCAATAGATATGATCACCTTTCTAACATGCTGAGCAAGATATTAGATGAGCGTCCTGAAAATGCTGTTGACATCATTGAAAATATCAGTCAAGATGTGAAAGTCGCACATTTTAGTAAAAAATTAGATACACTCCAAAATGAGAATGAGATGCTCCCAACTTATGAAATCGCAGAGAAGCAAAAGGCTCTTTTTCTCCAGGGACATTTGGAAGGAACTGATCAGGAGCTGGAAGATGAAATAGTAAGTCATTACTGTGTGTTTTAATACTATAAATAAATACTATAAATCAAAAGTGGTTATTTGGGATGAGTGGGATATAATTTTAAGTTCATGCCCATAGTTTTTATAGCTCTCTTTAATATTTGCATTATATTTTTATTAAGTCGATTCAAGCTGTTTTGACACATGCAGAATGCACCAGACAGAATGGAACAACTAACTCCCTTAGTGGCAACTGAGCAAAGCTTTATAATGGAGGTGATATTTCATTTGGATCACAATGATAAGTGAGAGAAATACAATTCTGGGGGAACAGAACAATAAAAAATCAGGAAAACTCATGCAAATTTCAAACAGCCAAATATCAGTTGAGATGGTATAGGAGAACACTTCCAAACTAAGAGCATTGAGGGATGAGATGAATGAAAAGGAAATTTTTAGGAGACTAATATTATGGGTGCAATAATAAAAAGGAACCAACAAAAGAGGCTAAGAAGAAAGAGTTATATAGAGTTGAGTAGGTCAAGAGTGGTTCATTAAAATGCCAAGGAAAAAGTTTCACAATCCTACATCAAACAGATGAGGATTTATGAGGTGTTATATTTATCTTGACACCACAATGATGATATAAATAAAATGAGATCATTTTTAAGAATAAGTGCTTTCAATTTTTCCACCCTATTGGCCAAGACTGTCTTGCATATTATCACAACCTCAGTTCGGGTTCTTTCATATGTTCTAAAATTCTCATTAATATTTTTCTGCATTCTACTTAAGACTCTGTTCACTTTTCTGTATGGAATTATTTGTTTCCCTTCATTAATTTAAGTACCAAATTATTTATTGTAAGTGTGAGCATATGACTACATTATGTCTTCAAGTATAGGTCATACCTGAACACTTCATTATATTTCCCCTTTTCATCTTTATGTTACCTTATATATGTTACTATGTTGATTTTTATTTACCATACATATATAAAATCATATATTTAATACTTATTTTTAAAATGTAGTAATATAAATACACATAACTATATTTTCTAAATTTATGCATACATAAGTTACACTACATCTTATTTAAGATAGTAAGAAAATCACCTGAAACAAATCTATTGAATTTTTATTGTTAATAGTAGTTAATAACTATTTCTTGAGACACACATAAAACAGAGCAACTATCATGTTAATGAGTAGAAGCCATGACTAGTATAAGAATCTACAGTTATAAATTATGAATTAAAATTAAGGAGTTAACACAGATTGATCTAAATCTTGAAAGAAATGTTGAAGAATTCAGAAACAGAAAGTAGAGCTTATATCAAGATGTATAAAAAAGAAGAGAAACAAGCATTCAATGTCCTTGTATAAAATTTTAACCAAAACATTGTTTTCCCAGGCAGAAAACTCTCTTCCAAATGTGATGGAGTCAGCTTTTTATTTTGAACAAGCTGGAGTTGGATTGGGCACTGATGAGACTTACCGCATATTTCTTGCCTTGAAGCAGCTTACTGAAACCCATCCAATCCAAAGATGCCGTTTCTGGGGCAAGATCTTGGGTCTGGAAATGAATTATATTGTAGCGGAAGTAGAATTTCGTGAGGGGGAAGATGAAGAGGAAGTGGAAGAAGAAGATGTAGCTGAGGAGAGGGACAATGGAGAAAGTGAAACTGATGAAGATGAGGAAGATGAATTACCAAAGTCCTTTTACAAAACCCCACAGGCAATACCAAAAGAAGAAAGTAGAACAGGTGCCAATAAATATGCCTATTTTGTTTGCAACGAACCAGGAAGACCATGGGTGAAGTTACCATCAGTTATACCTGCACAAATTGTTATTGCAAGAAAAATCAGGAAATTTTTCACTGGGCGATTAGATGCTCCTATCATAAGCTATCCACCCTTCCCAGGAAATGAGAGCAATTACTTAAGAGCACAAATTGCCCGAATTTCAGCAGGGACCCATGTCAGTCCTCTAGGATTCTATCAGTTTGGTGAAGAAGAAGGAGAGGAAGAGGAAGAGGTGGAAGGTGGACGAGTTAGCTTTGAGGAAAACCCTGATTTTGAAGGCATCCAAGTGGTTGATCTAGTGGACTCTCTATCAAATTGGGTTCATCACGTACAGCATATTCTTCCTCAGGTAGGAGAGCATTTGCCGAGTAACTGCAGATTTAGATTTAAGTGTGTTCTGAAATGACTCTATTTTTATACAGGGCATTAGTTTTAGAAATAGTTATTTTATTCTAGTTTTATAAGAACACTAAAGGATTATAATAAAAGCAAACAAACAAAAACGTCATTTTTTTTTTTTTTTACAGATCAGACAACAGGAAGGTAGAATGGGTCCTGCCTGGGGGGATTGGTACCAGTGTGGGAGGGGGGAGATGTGTAAATACTTTTACACATGTATGTAAATGGAAAATAATACCTGGTGAAATTCTTCCAGGAATACAGGTGCCGAGGGAAGGAGAATAGTGGAGGGGGTGAATTCAGTATGATATATTTGATATGTTGTAAGAACTTTTGAAAATGTAATGTACCCTCATGCAGCAAAACAGTAAACTCTCACACAACAAACAATAAAAAAAGGATTGTAATAAAAACAAGCCAACAGTGCTATACAGCAGTTATATAGAATCTATTGTGCCAGGTACACTACACATATTATGTATGCTAAAGTATGCGTATATGTATATAACTATATATACTTATGATTTAATCCCCAGAACAACCTTATGGAAGATTTAGTATTATTTTTATTCTACAGATAAGGAAATTGAAGCAGAGTTTAGAAAACATGGCAAAGAGAATATAGCTAATAAGTAGCAGAGTGAGATGTGAGGCTTGTGCAGGATAGATCAGAGTCTGTCCTCTGAAACACTCAACTCATCTACTGCAGGTAGATATTTATTATACTTTGATCTAGATAAGAGATGCTCTCAAATATCTTTAGATAAAAGTTAATTCACTGATAAGTTAAAATTCCCAACACTATTACATTTAAAATTTTATTAATAATTTCATAATAACTTTACTTTGCTTATATCAATTTTGCAAACCAAATCATGAGTTTAAAACACATAATTACCTTTTCATTAAGGTTTTTCTAATTTTAAAACATATATGTGGGTCTTCAAATTCTGTAACTTCAAAATGTTGGCTAATTCTTGAAATAAATAGTACAAGTTCTTTGGCTTGAAATAACTTGGACGGAAATAGCACTTGGTAAATGTACATAGAGTGAATGAAAGATTGAATGTTCAATATCAAGAAACCTCATCTTGATAAACTGTCAATCCAAATGAATATTCTGAGAATTTAAAGTCCTCATTGGTCTGTTAAGTCTTGCAACATTCATCTTCAGGGTCGTTGTAATTGGTTCAATCCCATACAACAAAATGAGGAAGAAGCAGAGGAAGAAGGTGAAGAAAAAGGAGAGGAGCCTGACTATATAGAACAGGAAGTGGGGCCTCCTCTTTTGACACCAATCTCTGAAGATTTAGGTAATTTTACATAATTATTAACACACAGACACATAAACTACATAATATATGCATTATGTGGTAAATATTAGAGCTGGAAATCTTCAGAAAGTAGACAGGAGCCAAAGTCACATCCCCTTTTTTCTTTCGTGTATTGTGGGATGGTGGGAAGTAAAGAGTGCTTGAGGCGATACCAACATGCTCTGACAAAATGAAGGAATGATGCAGGGAGGGAACTCAAGTGGGCTGTGGCCCTTGCTAGCAATACTGATTGTTTTCTTGTGCATCATTCTTGTCTTGTATTCTGCAAATCACAAACACATGGCATAGCTATAGTAAAAAATATTTATGTGGTACAGTTATTGTAGCTTAATCTATTCTTGTCACCATATTCTTTTTACTTCTATTCTTTTTTGCTTATAAACTTTAGTCTTTTCCATTGTAATGACATGACCTTTCATTTGGTTATCAGATAGTACTCCCTCTACCTCAAAAACTTCCTCTCCCTTAGTAAAAACCTGTATTGGAAAAAAAAATGCCCATACATATGTCTCAAATTTTATTGCTCCAAAATATTTATGAAATACTCTCCTGATTTTAAGCCACTATTTTAACCTCTTTTTATTTCAAATGTTTATGTGTCTGTGTGTAAAAGCTTAAGATTTATAAAAATAACATTGTTCACATAGTAGATTCCTGTCTTTATGCGGTAAGCTTTTGAATTTCTCATCGGTTTCCAGAGATTCAGCATATACCCCCTTGGACAGCACGGCTATCATCCAATCTCATTCCACAATATGCTATTGCAGTTCTTCGTTCTAACCTTTGGCCTGGAGCGTATGCCTTTTCCAATGGCAAGTAAGTATCCAGCCACTTAGTTAGCCAATTATAGTGACTATTTAAGCTCTGGAAATTATGTTGTTACTGCAATGCTAAGGCACTACTATTTTAACTCATCTTTTGTGTACAAGGAGTGTGTGGTATAAAATTTATTAAATTAACATCTGTGTTATAAAAGCACCAAACTCAGGACATCAGAGTCATTCAGGACTTTCCCCTTTCACCATAATTATCCACTAACTGAATTTTCATCTATGATTATTTGGGTAATTTATTCATTAATTTAGGTGATTAGTGGAGATAATTTTAAACAATGTTTAAGATTCAAGGATTATTTTGTAGATCATCTTTGATAAAAAATAATTTAAAATATGCTTTATTTAGCCTATCACTTTCAAAGGAATTTGGGTCAAGGGGTTACTAAAAATCCTTTTATCCTTAGAAAGAACACAAGATTGATTTGTCTTATGCTTCCATTTCTTTCTTAATCACTGTGTCAGAAGCTCAACTGAGCAGGAAAGAGCTGAGCCACCAGGTGTCAGAGTAACCATTAAAGCAACATGCCAAAAGTCAGAGTTTTTCATCATTGGCTATGATAGTGTAAGCAAGAGCTAGCTCTGATTTCTTCTTGTGTCATGTTCCTCCATAGAATGACTGCCAATGGACTTGCAAAATGTAGGTGTCATAGGTTTGGGGGCCCTGGGGTCATCTTCCTTGATGACAGGTCCTGAACAAAAGTCTCCTGCAGTTTTAAGACTAGGCATTAGGGTGGGGAACCAGAAGTGAATGAAAAAATTGGCCTTTACAGACCCAGAAATAAAGGCATCTGGGTTAGGGATAGTGAAGAGCAAGATCAGCCAGAGGGGCCTTGACTACAGCTGCCTGTAGGGAAGGCAATGTGCTGTGCACATGTCTGTTGCAGGGACAACAGTTTTCCCCAGTGGGGTGAAGCTTGCAAACTGAAGTCTTTGTAACTTCCTATGGTCAGGCTTGACAAATAACTATTTTTCACCTAGCCCAGAGTTTGCAGAGTTGACAACTTTGTAACCCTTTTTAACTTTGTGGAAGGCAGTAACTTTTTCCCCTGAAAATAAATAAATGACTAATCTAAGGCATTTTTTGTAGTCTAGATACAGGATACATTTTGACAACATCTAGCCTCATGGTTTTCTTAATAAGGTTAAGTAGTTTGGATCAAAATAATTCCCTGCAGTAGAAAAATTATTGAGGGATATTTCACCTCTGTGATTGCAAATGAATTTTTTTTTAAATTATGGGACCATAATAGTCATATTTATTATAGTAATGTCATACTTATTACTATAAAGTTCATTTTTTCTTACTGAATAGAGTATATAATGACTTTTTTCTTTACTTACAGAAAGTTTGAAAATTTCTACATAGGCTGGGGTCATAAGTATAGTGTGGATAATTATACACCCCCAGTTCCACCACCAGTTCATCAAGAATACCCCAGTGGCCCAGAAATTGCAGAAATGGATGACCCTAGTGTGGAGGAGGAGAAGGCATTCCAGGCTGCACAAGAAGCAGTTGAACTTGCAACTGAGGAGGAAGAAACCGAGGAAGAGGAAGAAGATGATGATGACTAATAAGAGTAAAGTTAGCCCAGTCTTATGTGGCACTACTAAACACAAACCCCTTATGTGGTACTGATTTTACATATATGTGTATATATATGAAACTAATGTGCACAATATTATTCCTTGAAAATACCAAACTTGACATTTCACACATACAACTATCAAAGTTCATAGAAAGATGCCTAATGGATTTTTCAGAGGCTAAAGAACATGTGACACATCACTGTTCTGATAGCTACATCTATGAATATACACTTGTGTATTATTACAAAAATGTCTCACTCAATTCTAATATGACATTGAAAGGTATAATCCACAAAACTTCTTGGAAACATCAATACTTTTACAAATATCAAGGAGTATGGAAACCCAAAACATTGACAACCACTAAAATAGTGTATGTATTTTTAGCCTTTATAAGAACTGAGCTAAAGCATGTATTCATAAGCCTTGTGATTGGTTATGGTCCAAGCCTGTGATACTGTGTGAAATACTTTGTAGGTAGATATATTCATCTCTTTCTTCCTGGGGTGAGTGTTCATAATTCCATGAACTGATCAAACTATAGGGACAAATTTTTAGCCCTTCATTATTTATGAACTTCTCTGTATATCCTATAAAAATTGATTTGAATGGTTGGGTGCAGTGGCTTAAACCTCTAATCCTAGCTATCTGGTGGAAAGAGAACAATTGCAGGTTGAGGCCAGCAGGAAAAAAAGTTAGTAAGACCCTATCTCTGAGAAGCTGGGCATGGTGGTACAGGCCTTTAATTTCAGCTGCAAGGAAGGCAGAGATGGAAGAATCATGCTCCAAGACTGGCATAGGCAAAAGCACAAGACCTTATCTGAAAGATAACTGAAGCAAAAAGGTCTCAGGGTGTGAGTGAAGTGATAGCAAGCTTGCCTCAAAAGTTCAAGGCTCTGAGTCCAAACTCCAGTACTGCCAAAAAAAAAAAAAAGAAAAGAAACTGAACTGATTGGAGTAAATGATATGCAGAGATCAGAAGCTGAGACATCAAGTCACTTTAAACTTACATTCCCTTACCACTGCTTCTCAAAAATAATTAAGTCCAAGTATACCAGACACCCTGAGATCCTGAATAAAACCTAGGCAGTGCTCCTGAAATCACAGCTTTCCTTGAAGACCAGAATACAAAAAAGTAAACAGAAAATTAGACTGTAATTCAGCAAGTAGTGTGATACATCTGATAGGTCCCATAGAACAGTCTCTATAATTTTGTGGTAAAGGAGCAACTTAAAAAAAATTACTCCAGTTCAATGCTGTTATTTTTGCAAAATAAAATTTAAAAACTGCAGAAACTCTACATTACCGCACTTACTTTGCCACAGATGAAAGTTGCAGACCAATGGTCTACAATTTGGGTTAGCACTGCTGTCGAGTACTTAAAGGTATACTTCACCCAGACTTGAGCAGGTCAAGGGGACATAAAAGCCACCAAGTCGAGTGTTACGGGGGAAGAGTTCTAGACTGCTATTATGACTTGGATATGAATTGTCCTTGAAAAGGCTCATGTGTTTAAGGCCTGGTCACAAGTTGCAGGATCTAATCAGAGAAGTGATTAGATCATGAGGGCTGTGAAAAAAAAATCAGGTCTTTTCTGTCAAAGAAATTAATGTATCACTCTCATTGTGTAAATGCCAGCCAACCTCCCCAAATTGTTGCCTACATGCTTTTGAAAATGTTGCTTGACCGATGCATGGTTCTTGCAGCCAGAGTTGTTTATCGCCAGATGCCCTAATCTCAAACTGTTTGACCTGTCTTTTCTAAGTAGCTTAATCAAGCTACTATCATCTTTTTGTTTTTATTTTTGAGCTTATTTCTTAAAACATGAACAATTACTCTCATTGAATTGTAAAATGTCAGCTCCAGTCTCCTGTCTGCAAGGGGCCTTGACAAATCACTCACTGAGCTGTAAACCATGAGTAATCATTCTCTCACTGAATTATAAAATGTCACTACATCAAAAAACCTTGCCCTTATCCCACAGAGAGTTGTGAGCCCAAGAGTAGACCAATCCTCTTGAGGGACAGAAAATTGTGTCAGGGACATAACCTGGGTGGGCTTCCCATTCAGTTGTGCACTATCACTTAAGTCTGTGGCTGTACCCTTCTGCAGAAAAAAAAAAGTGGGGGGGAGGTTGACTTGCTGAGCAACTCTCAAGTGTTTCTTTAATCACCATTTGGGAACTGCAGTTCTAACGGCTCAGGGCTCTGGCCTAATCAATAACCTGATCCAGTAATGGATTGATAATCTGATGGTGTTACCTGGGCGCCAGTGGCTCACACTTGTAATCCTGGCTACTTAGGAGGCAGAGATCAGGAGGTCTTAGTTCAAAGCCAGCCCCAAATAGTTCCTGAGACCCTATCTCTTTTTTTTTTTTTTTTTTGGTCTTTTTTGTGAGACTCTTATCTCAAAAAAAACCCAGCACAAAAGAAGGCTGATGGAGTGATGGAGTGGCTCTAGTAAGAGTGCCTGCCTGGAAAGCGTGAGGCCCTGGGTTCAAATCCCAATGCTGCCAAAAACATAAATAATTTGATAGTATTGATGGAAGTGGTAGAAACTAGGAGGTAGAGTCTGGTTGGAGGAAGTAGATATCTGGGGGAATGCCTTTGAGGGGTATATGTTGAGATATGGATGTAACTTCCCTAGCAGTTCAACCCTAGCACCACACAAAAGATGTGTCTTGCCTGTAGCCCATTCAAATCTCTCTGCTTCCTGGCCCCCTTGAAGTGAGCAGCTCAAGACCAAAAACAACAGAGTCAGTCAAACATGAAAAGTAACATCTGAAACTATAAGCCAAAATAAATCCTTTTTCCTTTAAACGGCTTCCTCTGGTATTCCTCACAGTGACGAACCTGCCTAACATAACAGCCAAATGGTACAGTGTTAAGAGCTTGGAGTGAGACAGCCAGGGTTCACAGCCTGCATCACCATCATGTTCTTGGGCAAATTATTAACCTTTCAGAGCTTCAGCTTCAAAGCATTATTTAAGATAAAATTAACATATGTTAAATGCTAAGAGTACCTAACACAAATAAGAACCCAATACATATCTGTGTATAATACAAATTGGTTTCTGAAACATGGATAAGAAAAACAAAACCCAGAATGCAAATAAGATGTTTATTGAAATAAAAATGTAATGAAGTACTAAAGGTACAGTTATTATAGAAAGTAAATGTGTTGAATACTTAGAGAATTTAGACGAAGTTGTATTAAGGAGTTCAATATCTGAATTTGGAAAACAAAGCATAATTCCACAATCATCATACTTGATTCTTCAAGGAATCTTCTCTGCGGTAAAAATTTGAGAAGCTTGTCTCCTAGCCTTGGAAAGGAATTAAAAAAACAATTAATTGTAAGCTAGAAATGAATTAATTATACTATGTTAGATATCATTTAATGTAAAAGATAAAATCTGGATTTTTTTTTTTCAAGATAATAAAAATTCCTATTGGAAATTGCAACTTCAAACTTAGGAAATTAGGAATAAACATTTTTTAGAGCCAAGACATAAAGAAAATTCTAAACAAAGACAAAACAGAATGAATGAAATATAATGTCATTTTTTAATGGGATAATGAGTTGAATATAAAAATGCTGACTCACAGTCCGAGAGATAAAAATGGGGGTTGGGGCAGAAAGGAGGACAAGACGGAAATGGTGATAAGAACAAAGAACCTTTAAAAAATTATCTTGCTCATTATATCCTTTCAAAAAACTTTTCAATGTTTGTGCTATTTTCACAACTTGATTTACAAATCAAAGCATTATTCATCTAAGCTAAATTAAACCAATTGCGTTAAATCCAGTTCAGAATGCAAGGATAACTCAGTGGAAAGCCACAAGTTGAGGTAAATTAACTACTGTGTATTAAAGTAAAAAAAGAACTGAGGAAAATGGCTATTACATGCTCTCACATTTTTAAACTGAATTGCATTATTTTTTAACTAAATTGCATTAGAAGATTTTTTTAAAATAAATTCTTTCAACTAAACAAGTGTTCTAACATCTAGAACAGGGTCTGGAATATATTTATTGCAGAAATGTCTTTTGTTAATTATAAAAAATTCACAAGAATAAAAAAGTTTTGAAAACCAACCATTCTCTTTGAAATATATAGCTGCATGATCATTAAAATATCAGAACTAATCTCCACATATAAAGAACAAAACAAAGTGCAGTTATAAATGTTCATATTTTAGCATATTGTAAAGTATCAAATTTATTCACAAAATATAAAATTAAGAATGATAATAACTGCTTAGAGAAAAAGACATCCTAAAAGTGAGAATAAAAAGAAACATGAATAAAAAATTATTTTGTCCTTGGTAAAGCTTCAGATTTCCATCTAATAATCTATAGATCAATCAGTACATCAACATGTATAAAACAATGTCAAAAAAGGCAGAATAACTGTAAGATATTGATGATTAAAAAAATCAAAGGCAAAGAATTGAAGGTAATATGGTAAACAAAAAGTTTAAAGAATGGGCTTGCCTGATTACAACTGTAATTCCAGCTTCTTGGGAAGCCAAGTTAGTGATACCTTATCTCAAAAATAAAATAATATACACGTGGAGTGACTCAAGTGATAGAGCACCTGCTTAGCAAGTGTGAGGCTGTTCAAACCCCAGTACTGCCAAAAGAGAAAAATAATAATAATAATAATGAAACAACACAAACAAAAGGCTGGGGTCATGGCTCAAGTGGTAGGGTACTTGCTCGCATGTGTGAGGCCCTAGGTTTAAGCACTGGGAAAAAGTGTTAAATTAGTAAGATTAATTTTTTTTTTCAGTTTTTAAAATGTAGTATCTTTTCAACAATAAATGTGCAATGGTTTGTGCAAAATTTAGCAAACATGAAACTATGAAGCTCGGTGTCCTTACAAAAGGCAATACTGGGTAGGGCTCTGGATAAACAGTGCCTGAACTCAGTAACTGTATGACCTTAGGAATGGAGCAATTAACTTTGTGCTACAGCATCCACGTGTATAAAATGAAAGTACCACATGTCTACCTTACAGGGCTCTCATGCAGATTAAATTAGTAAATGTATGTAAAGTGCTTATGATAGCACCTAGCACAGAACGAACATTATATAAGGTTTTAATCATATTACACTTACATTACTCTTTCTCTACAGGGCAGTATTACATATTGCTAACCAAGTTATAATCCTTACAATTAAAGACATAGCTATTGTCTATGACTCAAAACAATACAAAAACATTAAATGGACAATTTGGGAAGCACATTTTTAATACTTTAATATCACCTACACAAGAAAGATAGAAAAGAACTCAAATGTTTGATTTTAGTCCATGATAACATCTAACCACAAGTATGCTCTCAAAACTATTTGCATCATAATTAAACCTATTAAATAATTCTTGATTTTATATTTCAAATTATTAGGATGAAAAGATGATCTCCCATTGTAAGCAATTTTATTGTCCTTTCACCCAAGATCCGTTTTGTTTTCATGTTCACCTCTAGTACTTTCTTTTGCATTTTAGAGACAAACATATCAGTATGAAACACTATTAACAAGGGCATTTTTAATTTGTTTAAGATCCTGGGGCCTGGACATTTTCTAGACTTGATGTGCTATCATGTACCTTCTGTTCGTAACAAGTGAAAGCTTTGTACTACCTAAAATTTTTTCTGTGATATGCCACTCATCAGTTAACTACAAGGGATAAAGGCAAGAGTTAAATTCTAGAACTGTGTAAAACCACTAAGCCCAAATGCATAAAATAGAGCCTCAGGAATCACAAGAATCACATGTTAATAAATAGTAATTTTAACATCAGAAGAGTTAGTACACTGGCTTAAGTTAGGTTTTCTTACCATATGTATTATTATTATTCGTCATTCACATGACATTAAAACTATTATAAAACTGAACATTTTTATGAAGCTGAGTGAAGCAACTGAAAGTCATTTAGGTATCATTTAAGTTTAAAATGCACATTCCAGAAATTCAGACATAGAAAACAAATACATTTGTCAATTTAATGAAATAGAATGAGATGAGATGTTAATAACAAAGGGACAACAGTGACTTTAACTAAAATTAAAAATTTAAATTCTGCCCACTTAAGCATCACATAAATACTGAGTAACTTACAACTTTCTCCTCTGGAGATAGGACACCCTCTACTGCCACTATCTGGTATTGCTTATGTTTTAAATTTCCCACAGATTTTCGAAGTTGTTTGAGACTGCTAGCCTCTATGTCTTGCTTTAATAGTTTCTGCATTTCTTGAGAATGACATCCAGGATCAAATATAAGTAAACATAATGTTCGGTTTTTTTTCTCTTCAATTCCAACAATTGTTCGACTATGACCTATCAAAATATAAATAACAGGTATATATGGGTCATATTTATCTAGATACACATATATACAAACATTACTGTGTATGTATATACATATATCTATACATATTTATACATACAGACATACATATACATTCTTATTCTCTGTATATATAGCATGTGAATATATATGTATGTGGCCAGAGTATAACTATGGTCAGTTTCTAACATTTATGTACCTGAAATCTCTAAGACAGTAAGTGATTGATTCTACTTTTTACCGTTCAGTTTTCTTTTGTTCATTTTTAGTGTTTTAAAGACTTCATTACAAAAAAATCTGCTCTACGCTACCATTTATTTCACTTTTCCTTTCCCAATCTCTTGCTTCTTTTTCCTTTTCCAATCTCTTATGCAAATGAAAGGACTTGAAATTTCCCTATCCTAGAACAAAAACACTCATGGTTCTGAAAGATGAATAAAAATAAAATTATATATACCAGAATATCTCTTATGGTTATTTTCCCCTGCTCAAAGCTTGCTTCACTTTATTCCTGTTAATTCAAACCATCCATTCAACAAAATCTTGTCAAGTATCTATAAGCTAGGCACTATCCCTAGGAGCAAGGTTTATGGCAGTAAGTAAAACGGACGAATGTGCCTGTCTTCATGGAGCTTATAGTCTAATATAAAGAGATACTACAAACAAGATTTAAAAAGTAAAGGAAAAGCCAGTGGTGAGAGGCTGGGATAATGAGTTCCACTTATAAGTAAGGTGAGGTTGGGGAAGGCTTCAATTAAGTGATGCCTGGGGTAAACACTTGAAGAAGGTAAGGGATGATAAAAGAAGAATGAGTCAGAAAAAGAAACAGCAAGTCCAAAGCCCCTAAAGAGGCCAGGAATACCACCACACATTACCTAGGAATGTCCTTTGAAGACATAGCAGCTCTGAGCATCAAAGTAATGCACAATACTCCCCCACATCTTTATTGTCTAACCTGTCCTAAAACAACAGATAGTCTGTTGTCTTATAACAACATTATCTATCAATTATACTAACCTTGATGCTGGAGATAGATAGGAGGTTTTGATGTACACACAACCTTTGCATTTCCTTCCCTCTCTGAAGAGTAATAGTTCAATATCCATTCAAACAAGCGAGGGTGTGTACCCAAAGGACCAGTTGACTTGTGAAAATCAATAATACGGCATCTATAAAAATTGACAAAATAAAGAGTTAGAAAAAACCCATTCTCTCATCTACTAATAAAGTGAATTTTATTACTCCCAAAAAACTGACCAGATAGAGTATTTAGAGAACATTTTAAAAATATTTTTATCAATGTAATTATCTAATATGAGAAAAAATCTTAATTTAAGCTATTTTATCCCATTATTACTTCCCTATGAATGAAGAAAATCAAATATTTTTATTATTTATCTGGAAAACTGTCATTTTGTGGAGGCAGTAATTATTTAATTATCATTCACGGTAAATATAATGATTGATCTAAAGGTTAAAAATATTTTCTGACATACAAGTAAAATCTCTTTGAATAGCAAAGGACGATAATGGTAGACTTTTAAAAGTCATTTACATATTTTCTGGGACACAGTTTTTATTCAAAAGTCTCTAATGCTGATGATCAGTTAGAAACTGACTTCTGATTTTAATTCCTCAAAAGCCATTTCCATGCATCAAAGTAATTCATACAGACTTTTAATAGTAAACAGATCCAGGGTCTACTAATGAAAAAGCTTTATTAAAACTATGTAGGATACCAAGAAAGAAGCTAAATATATCAGGTATTTAGAAGGTAATTTTTCTTTCCTTAAGAATAACTTAAGCTGGGAACTAGAGGCTCATGCCTATAATCCCAGCTACTCAGGAGGGGTTGAATCCAGCCTGGGCAAATAGCTTGCGAGACCCTATCTGGAAAAAAAAAAACATCACAAAAGAAGGCTGGTGGAGTGGCTCAAGGAGTAGGCCCTGAGTACAAACCCAGTGCTGCAAATAAAGAAGAGAGAGGAATATATATATATATATATATATATATATAGAGAGAGAGAGAGAGAGAGAGAGAGAGAGAGAGAGAGAGAGAAAGTAACTTAAAAGGGCTATTTAAATCAAAGAGCAAAAGAGAAAAGGAAAAGAGAAATAAAATAAGCAATGAGCAAAATTTATATGATCATAATGTGAACTGATTTTAATTGAATAGAAACATTTATTTGAGGGTGAGCAAGTAGAAGATATAAAAATGAACCATGTCTAAATCTCATAAAGTAAAAAAAAGGCTATAAAAGTCTATTATTTAAAAATAATGGAGGACAGGGTAGTGACTCACACCAGTAATCCCAGCCACTCAGGAGAATCGTTAATTCAAGGCCAGTCCATGCTAAAAATTAGCAAGACCCTATCTAAACAAACAAGCTGGGTGTGGTGGCACATGACTGTCATCCCAGCTCTGGAGGTAGGAAAACTTCAGTACAAGGCCAACCTGGGCAAAAACTACAAGACCCTATCTGCAAAATAACCTAAAGCAAAAAGGGCTGGAGGCATGGATCCAGTGGAAGAGCTCTTGCCTAGCAAGAAGAAAGCTCTGAGTTCAAACCCCAGTACAGCCAAAAAGGGGGAAGGCAGTGGTAGTCACCTCTGAAAATTAGGACTTGAGAATAGAGAGAGCATGAGCTAGAAAATAAGTTGCCAGTTTTCATTATAAGCCTTTCAGTACTAAATAATTTTATTTTTAAGCTATCTCTTTGAATGAATGAATACATACAACATAACATTTACAAAAACAAAAGAAGTTCCCTCTCAGAAGGCTGGGAGAATGGCTCAGGTGGTAGAGTGCCTGTGTAGCAAACTCAAGGCCCCAAGTTCAACCTTCAGTACCACTGCCATAACCCCTAAAAATGAAGCTCCCAGATATAGCTGTAATATTAACACATTAACTTGAGTTTCCATGTACCTACTTTACCCTCAGGGAAGTCAGGAGTGTATATATTTCACAGGCTCCAATCCAGGCCTTTGTTCCCTGTAACCTATTATTGAGTTGAGAGGCTCCCTGAGGATCAAAACCTTCCTTCCATGCATCTTCAATCATAGACTGAATTTTTGGAATACAGGGAACTGACATACCTACAATTATATAAGCAAACAAATTATAAGGCAGTTTCAAAAGTACTGAACAATATTATTTAGTAGTATGTAAATAATATAGAGGAACCTAGACCAGTTTGTAACAGTTATTTCTGGTATCTTCTATTATTTTATTTTCTGTCCCTCCTCCAACTGGAATTCAAGTTTCTGATGCAACTGTCCACTAAAATACTTTCTTATAAAAGATATTAACTATGCATGCTACATATTATATTAATTTATTCCATAACCCATATATAGTTAGTAGCTGATAAGTTCAGAGTTACTGAAGTTATTTTACATACCTTTCAAGCAATCATAAGAATCATTCTGTAGTAATGATGAAAGTAGCATTTGGAAATTTCTGTAACCACAACCCCAACCTTTGTCGCCTAAAGATGAATGAAAGTGATCCACCACTGTAGAAAGCCACACACGCCTCACATCTGTAGCAGTATTCTGATAATATCTGTGAAGTGCTTCAATAATTCCTAAAGTAGAATAGAGGTTCAGAAGATTCAGAAAGAGCTGTCTCATACATTTCTAACATCAACCTCAAGATCCACAGGGAAATTCTATTATTTCATTTTTTCATATTCTTCTTTGCTACAACCTCAGTTCATGTTCTTGTTTGTTACTACAATCCAAGTTTCCTAACACTGGTATATTATGCATTACACTGAGTGGAAATTGTTTGCATCTCTTATTTCTGCATCTGCATGGCCCAGCACACCAAAGTACAACTACTGAATGCATGCTTTTCTAGTCTATTTTATTATACACATGGCCAGATATCACTCAGTCCTGATCAATTTACTCCCATTCAAAAGACAATAGTGGGTTGGGGATGTAGCTCAGAGGTAGCGTGTTTGCACGTGTGAGGCCCTGGATTGGACCCAGTAATGTGAAAGAAAAAAAAAAAAACTCCCTATGACCTACATAATAGTATGTAGGTCAGATACATAATAGTATCTGAAGCCTGCTGCAAGCTGTCCTCAAACTTTCAGACCACTCTTCTTACATAATTTTGGCTATGACCTAACTGAACAAATTAAACATTTTGCCCACAGAATTTTAATTCAATTTCCATGTTTTACTGTGTACATACTTCATACTATATTAAGTGCTGATCATAAAAAGATGAATACGACATTATCCCCTGAAATCTCATGAACCAAGCCTACAGTGCTATAATATGGATAAGCAAGTTATTAAGACAAAGTATTTCTGGCTGTCCTTCCTCCTCTTAGTGTACTCACCTTACACTTAGAATTCTACACATCTTTCAAAGATCCAATACCACTATCTTCAAAGATCCTTTTTCAGAACAATCACTGTATTTATTTTTTGTGATCCCTGGATACTGGTCTCATTGTCAAAGCAGAATACTATAGTTCTTTACATATATTTTATCTACGTTATTGACTCTGAAGTTTATATGCAGTGATATCCTATTTATATAGCTTACACTTTCTTATAGCATATGGCACCAAAAAGACAATCACTAAATGTTTTTCACTTGAAGAAAGGGTGTCCTATAGGAAAACGGGTTTTTACCATTTACAAAGGTCAATAAATCAAAACAATCAAATGATTTCTGTATTATAAAGGACAGAAATAAAGATCATTATCACCATTTCCAAAGAACTCACAAAGGTAAGATTTTCATGCAAGAAAAAGAACAATTTAAATGGTATATAACTGAGGACTGAATGTTGTGGCATAGAATAGGGTACTCTAGGAATTCAGAGAAGATAAATGTACACTTCAGTAACAGACTTTAAGAGATCAAGAGTTAAGAGAACCCTTTAAACATGAAAAAGGGAAAAAAACCATAAAACAATGAACTCATATATATTCTAGTATTCTTTGAAAACTTATTACATATAATACAGGAGTACCTCACTAGCTGGGTAACTATATCTTAGCAACCATACAACTGCTATAGAAGAAAATTTCCTTATAATCATGTATGCTTTATTCCTTAGCAGATAAATCTCTTTAGATATTTTTCCAAGATAATCTACCTTTTTCCTATTCCTAAGACTGTAACGTTGAAGTCCATAAGCTGACACTAAATGATGGCTGCTTTTTTTAATAACAACAAAAAAATTTTGCCACCAAATCAAGCACTTCTAAATTTCAATGCAGTTTATAAAAAGGACACAGTATATTAGAGAGCAATGATTTTGTCCTTTTAAAATTATAGTTATTGCTGGGAAAACTGGTTAGCAGTCTGCAAAAAACTGAAACTAGATCCATGTATATCACCCTATACCAAGATTAACTCAAAATGGATCAAGGATCTTAATATCAGACCCCAAACTCTTAAGTTGATACAAGAAAGAGTAGGAAATACTCTGGAGTTAGTAGGTATAGGTAAGAACTTTCTCAATGAAACCCCAGCAGCACAGCAACTAAGAGATAGCATAGATAAATGGGACCTCATAAAACTAAAAAGCTTCTGTTCATCAAAAGAAATGGTCTCTAAACTGAAGAGAACACCCACAGAGTGGGAGAAAATATTTGCCAACTATACATCAGACAAAGGACTGATAACCAGAATATACAGGGAACTTAAAAAACTAAATTCTCCCAAAACTAATGAACCAATAAAGAAATGGGCACGTGAACTAAACAGAACTTTCTCAAAAGAAGAAATTCAAATGGCCAGAAAACACATGAAAAAATGCTCACCATCTCTAGCAATAAAGGAAATGCAAATTAAAACCACACTAAGATTCCACCTCACCCCTGTTAGAATAGCCATCATCAGCAACACCACCAACAACAGGTGTTGGCGAGGATGCGGGGAAAAAGGAACCCTCTTACACTGTTGGTGGGAATGTAGACTAGTACAACCACTCTGGAAAAAAATTTGGAGGCTACTTAAAAAGGACATCGATCTACCATTTGATCCAGCAATACCACTCTTGGGGATATACCCAAAAGACTGTTACTCCAGAGGCACCTGCACATCCATGTTTATTGCGGCACTATTCACAATAGCCAAGTTATGGAAACAGCCAAGATGCCCCAGCACTGACGAATGGATTAAGAAAATGTGGTATCTATACACAATGGAATTTTATGCAGCCATGAAGAAGAACGAAATGTTATCATTCGCTGGTAAATGGATGGAATTGGAGAACATCATTCTGAGTGAGGTTAGCCTGGCCAAAAGACCAAAAATCGTATGTTCTCCCTCATATGTGGACATTAGATCAAGGGCAAACACAACAAGGGGATTGGACTATGAGCACATGATAAAAGCGAGAGCACACAAGGGAGGGGTGAGGATAGGTAAGACACCTAAAAAACTAGCTAGCATTTGTTGCCCTTAATGCAGAGAAACTAAAGCAGATACCTTAAAGCAACTGAGGCCAATAGGAAAAGGGGACCAGGAACTAGAGAAAAGGTTAGATCAAAAAGAATTAACCTAGAAGGTAACACCCACGCACAGGAAATCAATGTGAGTCAATGCCCTGTATAGCTATCCTTATCTCAACCAGCAAAACCCTTGTTCCTTCCTATTATTGCTTATACTCTCTCTACAACAAAATTAGAGATAAGGGCAAAATAGTTTCTGCTGGGTATTGAGGGGGGGAGCGGGAGGGTGGAGTGGGTGGTAAGGGAGGGGTGGGGGCAGGGGGGAGAAATGAACCAAGCCTTGTATGCACATATGAATAATAAAAGAAAAATGAAAAAAAAAAATAAAATAAAATAAAAATTACTGGAGGCATTAAAAATAAATAAATAAATAAATAAAAACTTTTGTGTAGATTAAGTAAGATGATACTATAAAGTGTGTATGTCAGACCTGGTACATATTAGAAGATGAGTAACAGGTAGATTTTGTCTAAGCAAACCTATGGTTGCAAGTGCCATTAGTACTATTTTAGCTAAATAAGAAATAACACTATATTATAAAAAGAATTGCTACTCTAGTGAAATTCTACATGGGTGCAACTTTAATGATATAGAAAAATAAAAAAGTAGAAATGAAAAAAACTGATTTTCCAATAATTTTTAAGAAGCTAAAAACAGTAGGAATTCATTATAAATCACGTATAGTTAAATATGTACCATATTTTGTATTTGAAAACTTGTTCTAGGGTCAGAAGCCTCTGTGAAGGGCTAACTGTGCATATTTTAGCCTTGGTTGGCCAAATTGGTCTCTGTTACAATACTCAGTCTGCTCTCGTAGAGGGAAAACAGCCATAGACAAAGCATCATGGAAAAGTGCGGCTGTGTTCCAATAAAATGTTATTTAACAAAAATGTGCAGCGTGCAACATATTGCCCCAAAGTCCATAGGTTGCTGGCCTGTGGTTTTTATAGTACAATAGAATTATACCATGAATAAACTAGAATATATTACCAAAAAAAAAAAACCTAAAGAAAATGCACATGCTTAAGAGGGAAGGTAATGGCAAATACTTGATTACACAACATGGAAAGGGAATTGTATTTTTAAAACATAAAATAGTGGTATAATGTTCCTGAGAGCACATGGTAATAAGAATCAGGAGACCAAGATTCTCTAAGTCATTTAACTTGTGACCTTAATTTTTCTCATTATTAAAATGATGTCAGTAAAGTAAACCAATGGTACCCCACACAAACAATCTTATGGAGAGGTGAGCTACCTAGGCATTGTTTTTTGGGGGTTTTTTTGTTGTTGTTTCAATTTAGATTTTTTTCTTTGCTTGTTTTGTTTGTTTTGTTTTTCCTGTAGTTTCAAGGAACAAAGAAAAAAGAAATGGAGAAAGGAGAACAGAAGAAAAAGTTGAGTGTGAGGTGATACAAATTTGTATCTGAACTGAAATCTACAGATGGATTATGCAAAAAATATACATTAATAATTCTTAAGGCCATTTTAGGTCCCAGTATCTACTATTCTCTCCAATGATATATGCCTCTTCTGAATTCCAATATCATTTCCTATGTGAATAATTATGTTTCCTTTAAAATAATGTAACATTTTCTTGTGCATCTCCAGAGAGAATAAGGCTTTTGGAGTCAAGACCTTTCATTTGTTGAGAATAAACTCAAGATGCTAAAGAAATACATTAAAAAGAATGTATTTTCATGTTATAGGTTGAAAAAAAAAAAAAAAAGAATTAACCTAGAAGGTAACACCCACGCACAGGAAATCAATGTGAGTCAATGCCCTGTATAGCTATCCTTATCTCAACCAGCAAAAACTCTTGTTCCTTCCTATTATTGCTTATACTCTCTCTACAACAAAATTAGAAATAAGGGCAAAATAGTTTCTGCTGGGTATTGGGGGGGGAGGGAGGGGGCGGAGTGCGTGGTAAGGGAGGGGGTGGGGCAGTGGGGAAAATGAACCAATCCTTGTATCACATATGAATAATAAAAAGAAAAAAAAAAAAATGTGGGAGCAGCCCAAGTGACCAAATAGATGAATGAATAAGCAAAATACGGTATATATACATTACATATATACATATAATATATAATACATATATATTATACATTAATCAGCTTTTAAAAAAATGCCAGGTGCCTGTAACTCACACCTATAATCCTAGCTACTTCGGAGGCTAACTTAGGGGTATCATGGTTCAAGGCCAGCCCAGGCAAATAGTTCATGGACTCCATCTCCAAAATCAACAGAGCAAAATGGACTGGAGCACCTGCTTTCCAAGTACCTGCTTTGCCAGTGAAGCCCTGAGCACAAATCCCAGTTACAAAAAAAAGAGAAAAAGAGGAAGTTCTCATACATGCTCCATGGATAAACATCCAGGACATTATGCTAAGTGAAATAAACCAGGCAAGAAAGACAAAAATGTCAAATGGTGGTTTCCAAGAGGAGGAGGAGGAGGAATGGAGGCTATTGTTTAATGAGTAGAGTTTCTCTTTCATAAAATGAAAAGATTATGGAGACAGATGGCAGTGAAAGAAGGACAAAAATTATAAATATCTCAATAACACAGATCAGCCTACTTAAGATGGTTCAGGTGGTAAATTAATTATGTGTCCTTAATTATAGTAAAAAATTA